AAAGAGTGGCACTCAATTATTTGTGGCCAATCTCCTTAACATCTGGCCGTGTAGGAGACAGACGGACTCTCACAGATGCTCCGCATCACAGCTCGTGACTGTGATGAGCTGTTCTGGTCAAAGAGTATGAAGAAAATCTGGCCTCACACAGGAAGTAGCTGGAACGGGGGAAAGTATTCCAATAGCCTCTCCAGATAATTAGGACATTCTTTTAAATAAGTTTATGAAAGCAGTTTTAAAAAATATTTATTTTGTAGAGAGAGAGGAAGGGAGTGAGAAAGGGAGAGAAACATTAATGTGAGATAGTTGCCTCTCACACATACCCTGACAGGGGACCGAACCTGCAACCCAGGCATGTGCTCTGACCAGGAATCAAACTGGCAACCTTTCACTTTATGGGATGAGACTCAACCAACTGAGCCACACTGGCCAGGGCTATGAAAACAGTTTTGACCTCATGGGCCCACTTTGAGAACTGCTCAACTGTACATACATGCTTCTGCATACATACTTCTGCATTTACCCACACCATCTGTAAGTGCAGCAGGCACTTATGGTAGCTCACTCCAGTTCCTTCAATAAGTAACCTGAGGGTGACTTGTAAGCAGTTTCCCTTCATGAGAACGGCTTCCCAGGTCTCTCTGCACAAAGGTGGAGCAGCCTAGACCTGCATAGTGCAGGTGTGAAGGGCTAGCTAAAGCCCCTGGAAGCAGCCCTCACCCAGTGAGGACGGAGTCTGTGTACAAACACCCAGCCTCCTCAGTCCCAGGTGGGATGACGCTGAGAGTGTTCTACAGCAACTTCCAGAGATCCTGAAGGAAGGAAGCCCCAGCCATCGTCAGCTGTTGCCCTAGGTGACCATTTGCTCAGGAACACACTGCATGTTGGCCCCTTCCCTGTCTCACTCTCCACTGCCTCCTTTCTCGGACCATCTTCCAAATAATTGATTTGCCTCCAAATCCTTGAGTCAGGGTCTGCTTCTGGGTCCGCATGCAAATGAAGACCGTGAACTATTCCTGTGTATTATATGTCAGAATAATGAAACCTCAGTAAACTCTAAAACTATAGATTCTCTAATTTAGGGTTGAGCCTAGCGAGGTGGCCACAGGGACACAGTGAAGAGCGACTGCAGATGTCCAGGTGGGAGAGGATGAGGGCTGAGACCAGGGTGTAGAAACAGAGTGAGAAGCATAGGATTTCCTTGGTCTTGACGGTATAGCTGCTTACCGATCCAACACCAAATGTGGGGTGGAGGAACTCTGCAGGAAAAGCGAACCAGAGACCGCAACAGTCCTCCAGGCCAGACTGTGTGTCAACAGTTTGGGGCATCCTACAGCTACTGAATGTCAACTCTATGTCAGTCCTAGAACAGACCCTGCCGGCAAAGAAATGAAGCTGATGAGCTTTTCAGCAACTCGTGTGGGGAAGACCCAAGACATTACAGTCCAGGATGGGGACCACCTGGGTAGCCCAGAGAGGTAGCCCTGCCAGGTGGCGCCTGAATCTCAGCTCTGCTACTTGCAGGCTGTGTGGCTAGAAACAAGTGGTTCAAATTCTCTAGTCTCAATTTCCTCATCCATGAAATGAGCATATTTGTAGCATTCATATCCTAGGTGGCTTTTGTGAACCAGGCATGACAATATGTGTAAAGTTCTTAGGACTATGCTGGGCACACAGGAAGGATTTGCATTTTGGCAGTTACCATTCAGTGCTTGGATCCCCTGTCCTGATGGAAATTCATCGCTGGAGCTCACTACCTCACCTCCAGACAGCTTTTCCTGCAATGTGACGGGGCCTTACTCCAACAAGAGGCGAGGCCTACAATCCCTCCCCTGGAGCCTGGGTGGGCCTGTGCAACCCTTTCGTCTCAGGAAGAGCAGAAGTGGCACACTGAAGGACTTCCAGGGATCAGCCATTAAAAGATACAGCGCAGCTGGTCTGATGGTAGTGGGTTACCAGAACCTGATAATGTCAGTCACTAAAATTGGTATACAAGCCCCCAAAGCTAAATTTGACTGGCTTTGAATAAAGCCAGTGTGTGTGGGGAATATAACCTGAATGCTCTCTCATTGTCTCACCTGGGAGCCCAGAGCTACCCTGAGGGTGCCATGCTGAACACCAGGAGGAGAGACCCATGGGGGGGGGCAGGGGAGAGAGAAGAGGCCCACACAGTCCCCATTCTTCCAGCCCTGGGTGCTGAACTCTTCCCATGTGCCACTCTTGCAAGGGAGGGTGCATTCCAGGCGTCTCCAGCCCCACCTGCCATCTGACTGCAGCAACATGAGACCCTGAGTCAGAACCACCTGGCCAAGATGCCCCAGAATTTCTGACCCACAGAAGCCGTGCGACGTAACATGATTATTTTAAGCTGCTAAGTTTGGGGAAATTTGTTATGCAATAGAGAACCAGTGCACCTTCTTTGGGGCCACATATTCACCATGTATTTGGGTGCCTGCTATGTGCCAGAAATGAGTTAAAGCAAGGCATAGCACTAATTCTTCACTGGTTTTTCTACTGCGTGTTGGCACTATGGAATAAAACCATACTCCTCTGTGTTTGGAGACACACATGGTAGAAGTTGGCACCCCACTCCATCTCACTTCTTAAAATCAAAAAAGACGGAGAGGTCATTCCAGCTCCAGAATCTCATGTCCCAGGAGAGGATCTGACTGGCTGGCTCCACACCTCTCCCTGGTGGGGGGTTGTCATACACTGCATTCCATTGTTGGTGGGTAGGAAAGTTTTGAGAAGGTGCTGCTTCCAAAAGGCTTACTCCCTAGGGGGTAACAGGGGCCCAGCCAGACCCTGTGTCTGGGTACGGATACTGGCCATAGCACTGGAGAGGGTACCGAGGCCCCTGATGTGTGACATGTCCCCTTCTTGCTGGCTGATTGTGAGGGGTCAATGCAGACCACACTGTTAAGTCCCCAGAGTGCTAACATTTTTGGCCCCTCATTCCACATGAGACAGACTCATTTTACATTCACATTCTAGATCTACAAGACCCCTCAGATGGTCCTTCCAGGATTCAGCTCATCCTCAGAGCCATCTGGGGCTGCTAGGACCCACTCCTGCCTCCAGGCTCTAGCCCTGGGGCTGGTCAACATGACTGCAATGTTGTGCCTCTTCCCTTCCCAGGAGTCTCCTTAAGGTGGATGTGCCTGCCTGTGCATGCCCGTCACACAGTTGTATGGTGGTCAGGCGGGAAGAGAGTCCCCTCTTTAGGTGGTCTCCTGGATTTCTTACAACCCTGGGACCTGCCTCCAACCCCTTCACACAGCGCTGGGATGGCATGAGCCCAGGAAAGCACTCTGTGGTTCCACCACTTTGTGGGTGGGTAGGCGGCAAAACAAATGAAATGCTGGTGGAGACTGCTCAGCATTTCGGAGGCCCTGAGGCCTACCGGTCACATCCTGACCATCAACTTATTTACAGAGGGCAGGGGCAAGGCCAAAGTGCCAGCAGCCGGAATTGACAAACCTCTTGCGGGTAGATCCAGCTGCTTTTAACTTTCCAATAGCAGGTGCTTCTTTATTTTCTAAATGTGAAACAGAGAGTGGGGAGCCACCATGTCACTGGGCAAGGAGATAACTCCCTCTCTCTTGATGAGCAGCTGTGAGTCAAGAGATTACACTCCCATTACAGTTCCAGAATCATGCTAACTTTCCCTCTTTAATGGACAGTAGGCTTCAATTGGAGTGCTCTACTTTGACTCAGGTCAATTTCTGCCTCCACCCCCTACCACTGTTTTAAGAAATAAATTTTAAGTGATGGCCCACAGCACACATACCCAAACAAAACTTTAACAAAGACATGGCCTTGAAAATGCTGGCTGTGACCTTCCGCATTGCTTTCTTTCCTTTTTTTTTTTTTTAAGATTACTTATTTATTTTTAGAGGGGAAGGGAAGGAGAGAGGGAGAGAAATATCAATGTATGGTTGCCTCTCATGCATCCCCTGCTGGGAACTAGCCTGCAACCCAGGCATATGCCCTGACTGGGAATCAAACCACGATTCTCTGGTTCGCAGGCCTGTGCTCAATCCACTGAGCTATACCAGCCAGGGCTTCCACACTGCTTTCTGTTCTGCAAATACTTTGCCACTGGCTGTTTATAAACTAAGGTTCTAGTTCCTGGCACCCTTTGTACACACAGGAAATGGGATGCTTCACCCACCTGTTCCATCAACCTTCAACTTTCTCATTCTTGTCATTTTGCAAGCACCAATGGCATCATCTGATATTTCTATTAAACTTTTTTAATAGGTATAATTCATGCTTTTTACAGAAAACTTGAGAAAGTAAAGCCCCTTTCTCAGCCTTTACCCTTCCCAAAGACAACCCCTATGGTTTCTTTTTCTCTCAGATCTGTAGACCCACTTCAGGACTGGAGGAATGGCATTTTTCTGCGTTGGAATCACACTGGCATTGGGACTTGCTTATCTGCCATCAGACTCTCAAGTCTTCCAATCTAAGCTTTAGGTTTTAAGAACTAACACTTCTTTTAAACTCGGCTAATTTCACAACAACTCTTTAAAAACAAGTTTGAGCTATAATTCGCATCATAAAGTTCACTCTTTAAAAAAGTACATAATTCTAAAATAAAAGGAAAAACAGTATAATTCTGTTTTTTAATGTTTCTCTAATTGTAGAACATTTTTTTCTTTGAGTTGTACCCCCCCCCCCCCCCCCCCCCGCCAAGTTCACTCTCCAGCTCGGGGGAACTTGGAGAAATCGCCCACGATCTGGACTTGACTTTCTTCGTAGTAACCGCGCGTAGAACCCTGGTAGTGCTAAGAAAGCGCAGAGAACCGGACAAGTCGTCCCGCCCACGTCACGTGCGCAGCTCGGTCACGTGCACATCCGGATGAAGCGAGCAGTCCCGCCATCTAGCCCAGAGCCCCTGCGTAGCGCAGTTAGTTTTACCGCAGTATAATTAAATTTAAGCTGTAAATAGCGTAGCATTTTCCTATGAAACACACTGTATCATAGTTGTCCAAGCCCAATCGCGCCATCCCACGCAGACCCCACGAAGAACCTGAGACGCGGAAGATCAGCGAACCCACAGAAAGAGCACCTCGAGATCTGTGCGCAAGGTCCCCAAAGCTTGAGAGCGCTCAAGCGCGAAAGGCCTGGACGCGTCCATTTCCCATCCTCCCCCACGCTTATGGTTCCGCCCGCTTAGGGGGCGGGGCCACGGGTGGCGGGAGAATCGCAGCGAAGCGCGGCTTCATTTCCGTCTGCCGCCGGTCTCCTGCTTTTTCGTTCCCGTAGTCCGGCTTCCCCAGCCCTGTTCCCGGTCCCGGTCTCATCCTCTTCATGGCGCAGCGCCGCCTCACCGACTTCTTTGCGCACCGCCGCCCAGGACCCCGCGCTGCGTTTGCGCGTGCCAAGCCTACCTGGGGCACCCCGAGCTCTGCCAAGCCCGCGCCCCACGTCCGGGCTCCCAACTCGGGCGGCAGGCGCAAGCGTGCCCGTCTGCCCGATGAGCCCGCGTGCAACGAGCCCACGCGCGACGAACCGGCGCCGCCCGCGCGCAGGAAGCTGAGGTTGTCCGCGGATGTGGTGAGGTTGCAAGGAGACCGGGGCCGTTCAGGGAGGGTGGCAGGCCGGGGAGGGCTTTGCTGAGACACACCCCGGAGGGAGGACACGGACCAGGGGGTACACCGAGGCCCCAAGTGGGAGGACTGAGCATTGGTCTGGGCGGAGAGAACAGACTGGGACTCACTGGAGGACCTAAGTCCGAGCCACCAGGCCGGCGTACTGTGGCCACCCTAAGGGTTTGCTTTGGAGAGGACTTGAGTGATGGGGAAAAAGTTTTGAGCCGGCGGATCTGACGGACGCTGGGGAGGGCCAGAGCTGAGCAGGCTGGTAAATACCAGGCCCAACTACTTGGGGGTCAAGCCCTGTAACTCTCCTGAGAAGAACAAAGAGGTGGGTGGCCCAGGTCCTTCCCTTAATGGAGATGCTTCTGAGAGGCCCGACTGAGGGCAGCAGAAAAACCCTCTTTGTGTAGAGCCAGTATCCCATAGAGTCTTGTCATTTGTTTACCTATGGGGTCTTTTCCCCCAGGTCCCTAGCCCTGGCTCCCCAGATGCCCCTAGCTCCCCGGAGGACTACTCTCTGAGCAAGAAGACAAAGAAGGTTGCCCTCTCAGCAGCAGGTCGGCTGCCCCGATTGGCACCACAGGAGGACAAGGTGAGGAGGCTGGGCCAAGGGCTGGGGGTGGGCATGGGGTGACTGGCTAGCTGACAGCATCCTGTGTCTGCAGGTTCCCTCAAAGATTACCTTCTCAGAATTCAAGTCGTACCTGCAGCCGCCCCAGGAGCTGGGCGCAAGTGCCCAGAGTAGCGATGCTGGGGAACCCAGTGTGCTGGAGGCCAATGGGCACTCATCAAGGCCAAGGTGAGTTTTAATTTGGGTGGTCAGGCACCCCAGGAAAGGGTAGGCTGGTGGGAGGCCTGGTAGGGGTAGACAGGGCTGGGGCTGCTATGTAAAAGAGCCAGCGCAGTCCATAGGGCACTCAGACCTCAAGAGCGCCAGTCACTAGCTCCCTCACCTCTTTCATCTGTAAGAGGGCTCCAGTTCCTGCCTCAGTGAGCCCTTGTGAATTTCGAATGATGTTGACTGCCAGATGTTATTGATTCCTGTCCTCAAGTCTGTTCTCCCCAGGTCCTGTGGTCATCATGTGTCTCTTAGAGATAAGGAAACCATGGCTGGGGGTGGCCAGGGCCCTCCCTAGGTGATGGGACAGGACATGGCAGAGCTGGGTTGGAAACCACCCTTTTCTGAGTCCATACCTGATAGTGCTTCCCATGGGGAACTGGGCACACAAGGAATTTATAATGGGGTATGCAGTGTGTCATGGGGGGCAGTTTTGTAAGCCCCAGCTCTGGGGTATCCCCAGCTGCTTTGCCAGCCATTGGGTCCTGGAGGGGGTGTGGGTCTGATGCTTCTCTCAATGCTTGGCTTCCTCCCTGGCAGTGGAGAAAAGGCACCTGCCTATCAGCGCTTCCATGCCCTGGCCCAGCCGGGGCCTCCTGGCCTTGTGCTGCCCTATAAGTACCAAGTGTTGGCTGAGATGTTTCGCAGTATGGACACCATTGTGGGCATGCTCTACAACCGCTTGGAGACTGTGACCTTTGCCAAGGTCAAGAAGGGTGTCCAGGACATGATGCGCAAGTGAGTGGAGTCCCTGGGAGGGTAAGGGTCTTGCCATGCAGTGGAGGCGGACCAGCTGTCTGACCCTGTGGCCTCCTCCCACAGGCGCTTTGAGGAGCACAACGTGGGCCAGATCAAAACCGTGTATCCTGCTTCCTACCACTTCCGACAGGAGCGAAACATTCCCACGTTCAAGGATGATGTTAAGAGGTCCGATTACCAGCTCACCATTGAGCCACTGTTGGACCAGGGTGAGTGTGCTGTGGGCACACCTGTGACACTGCAGTTTTGAGCACAGGTGTGAGATGTTGGGCATGGGGCCCCTGGGCTGAGACCCATGGTTGTGGGGCTCAGCGACTGGGCTTGCCTGGCCCAGGGGCTCAGGCTTAGATTCTTCCTGCAGAGGATGGCAACACAGCCACCCAGCTCACAGCCTCACACCTTCTACAGCGACGACAGGTTTTCAGCCAGAATCTGGTGGAGCGAGTCCGGGAGCATCACAGGGTGAGCTGGCAGCCCCAAAATAACTAGCTCAGCCATAGCTGTACAAGTTATCTCCTCTGCACTGAGTCTTGTGCTCTGTCCCCTCTGTGCTTGTTCTGTCCTGTTGTCAGAGCCACATTTTACCCAGCAGGAGATGGGCCTGCCTGAGAGGCTGTGTTCTAGAGCTCTCCTCTCAACCACTGGGCCGTCATCTCATATGCATGGGGTGGGTGTGGGCTGAATGGGGCTCCTGGTCTGGGTGGGGACCTTGGCCCTGGCTCCCAAATGAGGGAGGTGGGCTGCCCTGAACACAGGAGCAGAGAGCTCAGAGATGCTGCCTCAGGCTTAGAAGTCTTGTGGTAGCTTCAGTGGGTGCTGGTGGGTCCTCTACTCATGCCTGAGGGTGCCCAGCTGGGATGGGAACCAGGACAGCCCTGCTACGTCCCCAGCCAGAGGAGCCTTGGGTCATCTTGTGCCCCCCCTTACTTGGACAGGTATTCCTGGCCTCCCTGAACCCCCCCATGGTGGTGCCGGACGACCAGCTGACACGCTGGCACCCCCGCTTCAACGTGGATGAAGTGCCTGACATCGAACCTGCTGAGCTGCCCCAGCCGCCCACCACAGAGAAGCTGGCCACCGCTCAGGACGTGCTGGCCCGAGCCCGAAGCCTGATGTCACCCAGGGTGAGGCTGGACCCTTTTCCCCGGGGTGAGGTAGCCTGACTCCCAACATGGGCCTTAATGGCAGTGGGATGCACCCACATGTTCAGAGTGCTGCCTGCTGGTGGGTTTTATTTACCCTAGGGTGCTCAGCACAGGTCTCTGATATTGTGGGGTAAAGTTGGGCTGGGCATAAGAGGGCTTCATGGGCAGGGGGTCCATGCAAATGGGGTGTGAGGGGCCTCCTCTGTGGCTGGGCCAGGAGAGTCTTCTCCTGAGCTCTCCTCTCTGACCTGCTTCAGATGGAGAAGGCCCTGAGTGACTTGGCCATGCGCACAGCTGAACCCAGCAGCCCGGGGTCCTCCAGCCCAGCACTGCCAGCCACCCCCCCAGCCACTCCACCTGCTCCCCTAAAGGGGGTGTCCCAGGACCTGTTGGAGCGGGTGAGTGTTTGGGGTCCAGGGATGGGGGAAGTGGGGCCAGCTGCCCAATGACCACTCCCCATGCCCAATGCAGATCCGGGCCAAGGAGATGCAGAAGCAGCTGGCACAGATGACGCGGCATCCAGAGCAGGAACAGAGGTTGCAGCGGCTCGAGCGGCTGCCCGAGCTGGCCCGGGTGCTGCGTAGCATCTTTGTGTCCGAGCGCAAGCCAACACTCACCATGGAAGTGGCCTGTGCCAGGATGGTGAGCAGCTATCACGTGGCCATGAGCCCAGGTGTGTGCAGGGGCAGGAACCAATCCTTGTGTCCCTGAGTCCCAGCTGAGGGTGGAAATCATTCTCTGCACACACTTGTGTGCATTGACTGGGCAGTGTCCTTGAGGTCACCTCCTGAGCCTCCACCTGGTCACTTTAACCTTGCTGTCTCTTGAGGCAGCCTCTCCCTCACAAACCTGGCCTTTGCCCTCAAGATGCCAGGAGACTACCCTCTCCCCTTGAGGCTTCAAGACACCTCTGCTTCAGTGTCTTGGAGGGCTGGGACATGTGGCAGGCTCAATGGGAGAGCCATCTCCTTGGGAAAGTTGTACAGTTACTGCCCTAACTCCAGTCCTTCTGGGGGAAGTGCTGGGGGTGGGGGTGTACACTGGGAGCAGTACCTGTGTGCACCCTCTTACAGAAGTGCTCACAGGCCTCCTCTCTCTGCAGGGGAAATGGAGAAACATGTGCAGCTCCTGTCTGAGCTGCTGCCAGACTGGCTTAGCCTGCACCGCATCCGCATGGACACCTATGTCAAGCTGGACAAGGCTGCCAACCTGGCAGGTGTCACTGAACAACTGGCTCGCCTTACCCGTGTGGAGAAGGTGCTCTGAGCCTGATGGCTGTGTACTAACACACGTGTGAACTCAAGGCCCAGCCTGGCCCTGGATGCCTGTTTTATTCTCAAAGAATGTGATATACACTGCTCTCCCATTCCTGAGCCCCATGAATGTCAGAGCCTAGCTGAGCTCTGGCTGCAGGGCCTGGGGGAGTTCTCTGGCTAGTGTGGGTGGTATGCCCATCCCATATAGTATGCTGTCATTAAACTGGTTTCACTTGGTTTTGTCTTTCGTTGCATGGCGTACAGTTGTAGGGTGGCTTCGCTGCCGACCAGAATGGGTTTGGACAGTGTGGTTGGCACAATCCCTCAAACCCATGGAGGGATCCTGAGACCAGACTGAACATGTACAGACAAGTCTAGTCCCTAAACAGTAGAGTATAACAACTATTTAGTGCAGAAGTTATATATGTAAATACTGTGCTGGGTTTTTTTAAAATCCTCATTCAAGGACATTTTTTCATTGCTTGAGAGAGGCAGAGAAGCATCAATGTGAGAGTCATTAGTTGCCTCCCGTACATGCCTGGACTGGGGATCAAACCCATAACCTTTTGGTTATGGGATGCTCCAACCAAGCCATACTGGCCAAGGCATAAACAATATGCCATTTTATGTAAGGGACTTCTAAAGTTTTAAGCCACCAAGTTTGCATCTTCTGATGCAGCAATGGGAAACCAAACCAGTTTGAGCAGCACCTGCTTCCTAAATCGGTTTGCTCCCCTACCAGAGACGAGAACCATAAATTGCTGTAAATGCTCTGGAACATGCACATGCATACCCAGGCCAGCCACGGGGTCCCTGCACCCCTCCCCCACCTCCTGGTCCTGAGGCCCAGATCCCACCCTGGGCACTGAAGAACAACATTCTAGTAAAAGTTGGTCATGCATGTTCTCATTTCACCATAAATGAACCTGAGCAGCCTGGGCTTGGCTTTGCCCTGGGCTATGGGCTCTAGGCCTTTGCACTTCCAGAACCTGCAAGAAGGTCTCTGGGTGCTAGATAAAGTCCAGGTGAGCAGTGAGTGCCGGATGGCAGGCAGTGGAGGCTGGACCTCTTCTTTTCCTAGTTGGCGTGAGCAGGGTATTGAGTCAATCATACTGCACGAGGGAGAAAAAGGGCACGGCCCCCAGCTTCTCCCTACCCTTCAGTGATGTCAGCTCCACCAAGCTCACGCACTCCAAAACCTCAGCCCGCAGCTGGCCCAGCAGCTCACAGGCTGCACGCATTGTTCCTGGTAGGGCGGGAGAGGAGCAGAGTGAGGTCCCCATGCAGACTAGGCCACCCAGGGGGTTAGGAGAGGAAGGAGCTGGCATTGCAACAGGCTTCCCTTCTGGTAGGCAGATGAACTAGTATCAAGGACCTAGTCCACTTCTCACACACAGCAAGTCACCTCCACACCCACAAACTTGGGGAGACCCTCACCGCCAGTGGCCAGCAGATCATCCACGACTACCACCTTCTGCCCTGGTTCCAGGGCATCTTTCTGGATTTCCAGGTCGGCCTGTGGATGGGAAGCAGGCATGTGGTTGACACATCTGAGAATGGCCTTGGTGTGTGGAGCCCAGGAGCTGCCACCTAGGTCCCAATTTCAACACACCTGGCTGTTTCCTGGCTGTGTGAACCTGGCCCAATGTCTCAGCCTATCAGAGCTCCAATGTCCACTCCGACTATGGCAGCTCTACTTGATTCTACACCTTTCCCTTTTGGAATGGAAGGTCCTCTGCCCTCACCTTCCCATATTCCAGTGTGTAGGAGGCAGACACCGTGGGGCCAGGCAGCTTTCCTCGCTTTCGGATGAGCACGCAGCCCAAGCCAAGTTCCTGGGCCAGGGAGGGGCCAAACAGAAAGCCCCGGGAGTCTAGGCCTGTGGGAGAAAGCCAAGGTATTGGGAGGCAGCTGTGTGGCACAGCAGCATGAGAGTTCCAGCGGGTCAGGGCTGGAAAATAACCAGAAGTCGCCTCAGTGACTAGGGTGCTTGACCTTGTTGGTGCCAGCTACAAGACCAGTGACATCCATCTAGAGAAAGTTGACCTAAAAAGTGCAGGGACTGCTGGGTGCTGGAGAGTGGGAAGTTAGAGAAGCTGGGACCAGGGACTAAATCCTTCCTACATGGTTGAGTAAGTAACCAAGTGACCCTGGGGAAGTCACCTGACCTCTTTTCCAAAACTCAGCTGTATCTCTTATGAGACTGGTAGTAACTACGAAACACGATCAGCACAGTACTCTTGTCTTTAACAGCAGCGTCTGCTCCACAAGCTTCTCCAGGAGAGGCAGTGACAGGCCATCTCTCACTGTGTGCTGAGACGTGGGGTGAGAGAGGGCTTCTGAGAATCCTCTGAGGGACCCACACAAGTAAGGGGAACAGCACTGCTGTGCCCTCAAGGCCGGCGGGTTCCACGGGAGGGTCAGTGGTGGGGCTCCCACAGGGAGACAAGACCCCAGGGCCTCCCTGATCTCCTTTGCTCCCTTCTGGAGGCCCCACACTGGGTCAAGGGCCTGGCACAGTGTGGGTGCTCAATACATGCTTGTAGAAGGGGAACAAGATAGTGTGCCCAGCCCAGTGTGTTTTGGCCAGACACTCCCTGGAGATACTTCCTGGAGCTGGAGACCAGGAACCGGGTGGGGGTCGGGAGGGCTGTCCTCAGCTCCACAGCCAGCAAGGCAGCACCCACCCAGCAGAGTCCATTCCCCAGGCTGCTGGAGGGGCCTGTTACACCTCACAGGGCTGCAAAGTAGTGGGCAGCGGGCCTATCCTTATAGCCCACGCCAGAGTTATTACCCAAGCACCCTGCAGGCTTAGGTAGTAAGTCCCCTGAGTCCCCAACAAAAAGACCCTCCCAGAGGAGGGGTGGAGCCACCCCTTGCTCTCTCTGCCTGGCTTAGGGGAAAGGAACCCCACACAACCTGCCTACTGGGGCTTGGCCCAAACCCAGTGACCCCTCCATCTTCATGATCCCGAGTAGGGCAGGAGCCCCCACCCCGCCCCGCCCCTTCACTTGCCCACAATGTAGTCGATCTTGCCCCCATGGGTCTTCTTTAGGTGTTTAGTCAGGAGACTGATGGAAGCGCGGAAGGAGTCCGGGTCCTTCAGGAGGGGAGTGATGTCCCTGGCGCGCAAGCACAGGCCTGGTAACTTTGGGAATGGGTCGCAGCGTGCAGGCAGTGGTACCCTGGGGAGGATCCCACGGCACCGACAGCCCCACTCTACGCGCGAGACAACGCCCCAGGCCGGCGGGGCCCAATGCCCTGTGCTGCCCTCACGTTGTCAGGTCCCAGGTGGGCCGCCCGCGCCCGCCCGCACGCACCTAAACAGCACGCCCGGGATCGGGAAGTCCGGGAAGCTGCGGATGCGACGCGCCACCAGCTGCAGCTGAGGGTCCGCCATTGCTGCCATTGCTGCCTCCGCACGTGTCCTCGGGCGGGACGGGTGCGGCTGCGCCTGCGCAAGGGCGGAGGGGGCGCGTGAGGAACCAGCGCACGCCTGCAGGGAAGTTTGGTCTGGACAGTAGGGGCGGGGCTCACTAGCTCCTGTAGGAAGTTCCGTATTTGCTGAAATTAAGTGCCCTCGATTTTAAGACCTGTGTTTATTTACTTTTTTAGCTCTTTTTTAAAAAATCACTTTTTATTTTTCAGTTATAGTTGACATACAATGTTATACTAGTTTTAGGCGTACACCCCTGTGATTAGACATTATATAACATCCCAACAAATCTCATACCCCTCTGACATCGTACATAGTTGTTAGAATATTATTGACTGTATCCTCTAGGCTGTATTTTACATCCCCATGACTATACTGTAACTGCCTATTTGTACTTCTAAATTTCTTCACCTTGTTCACCCATCCCCCCCCCAGCACTCTCTCATTTGACAATGGTCAAAATGTTCTCTGTATGAGTTTGTGTTCTGCTTGTTCATTTATTTTAATTGTTAGGTTCAATTATTGATAAATATGTAATTATTGCCATTTTATTCACATTTTAAAAAATATTTTTCCCCTCTTCTTAAAAACAGACTCTTGAATATTTCATGTAATACTGGTTCAGTGGTGATGAACTCCTTTAGCTTTTGCTTGTTTGGGAAGCTCTTTATCTGCTCTTCCATTCTAAATGATAGCTTCACTGGGTATTGTAATCTTGATTGTAGGTCCTTGCTTTTCACCACTTTGAATATTTCTTGCATTTCTTTGTGTCCTGCAAAGTTTCTGTTGAAAATCAGCTGACAGTCTTAAGGGAGTTCCCTTGTAAATAAGTAACTGCTTTTCTCTTGCTGCTTTAAAGGTTCTCTTTAACCTTTGGCACTTTAATTATGATGTGTTATTGTGTGGGCCTCTTTGGGTTCATCTTGTTTGGGACTTTCTGTGCTTCCTGGACTTGTATGTCTATTTGCTTCACCAGGTTAAGGAAGTTTTCTATTATTTTTAGAAATCCCCACCCAAGGATATATTTACTGACTTTGAGAGAGAGAGAGAGAAAGAGGGAGAGGAGCATCAGTGTGAGAGGGAAATATGCTTCCCTTGTGTGCCCTGACTGGGGATCAGACATGCAGACTTTTGGTGTATGGGCTGATGCTCTAACCAACTGAGCCACCCGGCCAGGGATTTCTGTCATTTTTTCAAATAGGTTTTCAATTTCTTGCTCGCTCTCTTGTCCTTCTGGCATCCCCATTATGCATATTTTGGCTTAAAGTTGCCCCAGAGGCTCCTTATACTATCTTCACATTTTTGGAAATTTTTTTCTTTTTACTGTTTTTTTTTTTCTTCCTTATATTCCAAATCATTGATTTGATTCTTGGCATCGTCTACTCTACTGTTGATTCCTTGTAAATTATTCTTAATTTCAGTTAGTGTATCCTTCATTTCTTCATTTTAGTTAGTGTATCCTTCATTTCTGAGAAACAATTTTTTATGGTTTCTATGTTCTTTTTCATTCTGTTAAGGTTCTCACTAAGCTCCTTGATCATCCTTATAACCAGTATTTCGAATTTTGTATCTGGTAGTTTGTTTGCCTCCATTTAGTTTTGTTTCCTGGAGATTTCATCTGTTCTTTTATTTGGGACCTGTTTCTTTGTCTTTACACTTTCCCCGCTTCTCTGTTTGTTTTTATGTATCATGTAGAACTGCTTCATCTCCTGGACTTAGAGTGGCCTTATGCAGTAGGTGTCCTGTAGCAACCGTGGTTCAGCATACCCAGTCACCCCAGCTGGGTGTTCCAGGTGCACCT